AGTGACAACGGGGCGGGTGACACCCATCTGGGTGCTGGTGTGAATCCCTGGGTTTCAAGAGGGCTGTGTCAGATCAGCACTTGTTCGAATGAGATTTGAAATGGGCTCTGGACTGGAGGGCCAGGTGGTTCCGTGGCAATTAAACCTCTGATTTTTAAGGTGCTCGGAACCGCTCAGAGCTGCAGCACAGCACCACTGCTGCAGTCAGTCTTCCCATTTGCACCCAGCTATGATTAGGGTAGGGCTGTCTGACAATTTACACTACTACAAGTGTGCAAGAAATTACAGTAGTGCATAAAAACCAAGTAGAAATGTTTTCTTCTGCCTGTGAGAATGGAATTACATTCCTTTGGCACGGGGTTTGTTGGGCTACAGCATTACCAGGAGAGCTGTAAAATCCTACAAGCATTTTTGTTTCAGGTGGCCAAGTTGGTTTTTGCAGATCTTGTCCTGAAGGATGTCAAGAAGAGTTCCTGAGTTCAGATATTGCTGATAGACTTTGTTACTAAATCGCGATTTTTCTTTTGTTATAATTATTGGAGGCTTTTCTATCATTCACTTGTTTAGTTCTGGGGATCTGTGTACAAACCATCATCAGCCTCACATCCGAAATGCTGGTGTACCTAAACCTGATGTGAAGGGTAAGTAAGGACAAAGAATGGCGAGCCAAGAGTAGTCTGTGAAGCATTATCAGATCTTCTTATAGCATGAAACTGCATTGAAATGCGCTGTTGAAACCTGTACCTTATCACTCTGAAACACTTTACTGGAAACCCAGTGTTAACTTGTGCCTGTGGTCAGTTCTTGACAGCATGGCTCTTTCAGGTCGGAACAGCTCGATTACTTTTTTTTAAAGAATTTTTTTAGGATAAAACAAAAGCTTTTGGATACTTGAAATATTGAATAAAATTGGGTCAGCTCTGGATCACGCCTAGCGGACTGCGGCAACCTACGGTAAGCGGCGTGCACAGGGCACGGCTCTCCAGCCCCTGGAGCCCCTGGAGCAGGGCTCTGGGAGCTGCTGCTGAGTTTCCCCGACATAAGCGGCCGTCGGTGAGTAGGTGTCTCGTCTCCTGTCGTGCTCCTGGGCTCTCCAGGAACCTCTACTTTGTTAGTCATTTCACCAAGCCATTTGTCTGCAGCCGTCTGGTGCTTTCTGCTGTTACCGAGAGGTTTCTGTTACCACAGCAGTGATGCCAGCTCTGCTCGGTGGCAGAGATGCGAACGTGGCCGCCTGCTCGGCGGGGCGAGGCTGAGCATCGGTCCTGGCAGCGGTCCTGCCGAGAGCCGGAGCAGTCCAAGAGGCTGCTCCGAGGGTTGTTTTCCAGGATGTTCCCTTCGGCCCCGCCGGGCTGCCAGCCCATTTTGTGCCTTTTCGGGTTGTTCTGCTGCAGACGTGAGATGGGCAGGAGCTGTGCTGCTCACCACGCACTTCGCATAAATGATTTCTCAGACAAGCTAATGACCCACGGGGCTCGGTTTTTAAAGCCCTGGCATGGCAGCAGCTGGCTAACAACCCTCTGCGCTGCCTTTGCTTGTCATTTGGGTCGTAAGTACTTTTAGTGTGTCACAATTTGCCTACCATAAAATCCCAAGGGAGAAGCCCTCACCCGTTAGCTGGCGGTTGCCTGGAAGGGTTCCTGGGGAGAGGAGCGCTTCCCTGCTCCCAGCAGGTTCCCCAGCACTGCAGTATGCAAAAGGCTTAATTATCCTGAGAGCATCTGGGGGTGTCAGTTCCCATTTTACTGTCAGAGCTCTTCTGCATCATCACGCTGCTCTGTTTCAGAAATTCCTGTTTCTTCTTTTCCTTCCCAGAGCATACAAAAAAAGGTGTGCTGTTTTATTGAGGATATTTTCATGCTGCTGTAGCTGGAAGGTAGATGAGAGCCTCCCTTAGGCAGGCTGCCAGGGGAAAGCCAGGCCTGGGTGATTCGCTTCCATCAGGACTTGGTCCAACACGCGCCGAGATCCCTGCTGATGCCATCCCATCTGCTCTGAAAAATGAGGGTTTTGGACCCCCCTCCAGGTCCAGCACTTGGGGTACTCAGTCACCATCATCGCACACATCCTTTTTCATTTTGGGTTTTTAAGTCTCTGGGCTGTCTCCACCGCTCTGACGTGGTTATTCTCCTCCTTGCCCTCGCGGTCACGCTGTTGCCTCCACTTTGCGAGTGGTCAGGGACAGGACAGAGAGGCCAAGGGACGCCCGCCCAGGACCACGCAGAGGTCTGTAATGCAGCAAGGCTCTGGACCCCAATAATACACCATTTCGCCTCTGTTCCCGTATCACCCCAGCATCTTTCCTCCACCAGCCTGGCTGCCAGTTTTTAACCCGTGACTGTTTCTTGCCTGCTGGCATTTGGCTGACCTGTCTTGAGCATCAGTTCAGTCATCAAAAGGAAAAAAGAAGAAAAGAAATCCCTTCTTTTCATCCCCAATTTGCATAATTAAGTAAGAACTCATTGCCTTTTCCTCCCGTTTCCTCACCGAAGCTGGGTGTGCACCGGGCTGCCTGGGAACGCTGCCGGGGCCGCTTCCGCTGCTCCAAGCAAAACGTTTGCTTCAATTACAGGCAGCAGCTGGGAGTTGGGGGAGGGCGGCAGAGATTAACAACTTGGGGTGCTGAGGATCCCTCCAACACCTCAGCAAGGATGAATGCAACCTGCTGCAGATTTGGACCTGCCTTTTGGCTGATTTACAGTGTGAAGGCACAGGGGGCATTTGGGGTGGTTTCAGCAATACTGTATGCAACACTATGACTAGCCTGGGCATAAAATCCATTTGCCTAGTCTTCCGCCGATGACGGATATGCGCTCAGGATTGAGCTTGGTTATCAGTAAATTGCTCACCCAGCAAAACTTTACACAACAGCCCTGGCCCACAGGCAGTGGCACACAAGATAGACCTGCGTTGCAACAGACACAGGCTCGGGCTGCTGCTCTCACCCAGAGCATCACGGCTGCGGGATTAGAGGGGTGTATTTGTCACCTCCATGCCCTTTAAATCCATCTGACCTTCCCTCCTGAGTACAGGTAGTCCAAGAAGTTTTTTTAACTGCTCATATTCGTTTGTAGACTGAACTTTGCTGTCTCCAGGGGGGTTACAGAAACAACCGAACTAACCTCAGAGCCGACAGCACAGTGAACCAGCCTGGGTTTTGCACCAGTACTGCCACATCCCTGTGACAGCATGCCCCAGCTGGCGAACCTTGGTTCCTTGAGGACAGTCTGGATTTGAGACATTGGTATGAGAACGTGCCTGGTCTGCTCAAGGACCTTGGCTGCATCGGTTTTGATCAGCAGCTAATGCTTGCGGCAGGGTAACCATAGACTTTGCCGGGAAAGTCTTTGCTGGCGGGTAAAACTTCCCTGCTGCTGCTGGGCTGGTGGACTTTTAAAGGTTTGAGTGACATTTCTGTCTCCTTCTGCAGGGTGATAGTTTTGGACTGTGCATAATGATCACGTCGGTCATCCGTGCTCCTGAAATCCAAGTGACTTCTGGCACCCAGGTGGGAGCTGTGTGGTCCCAAAGCCTTGCCCTCTCGTACCTGCGCAACTCTGGTCTCCAAATAGCAGGGACGTGCCCAGGGAGATAAGTGTGCGCTCACCTGAGGAGCAAGGCTGAGAGCAGGGTTCACTGTACCCAGCGGGGGAAGGACCCACGTGCCGGGACAGTGACGTCTGAGAAAGGTCTTCCAACTTTCTGAGTCACACTACTCGGGCACAATGTCCTCGTGCCAGAAACCCTCCCACCTTCGGGTGTTTGGACCACTGGCATCCCAGGGGGGTGATGCCACTCTGCTTCCCGCATCCCAACACCTCTGTGATGAGCCAGGAATGGCCCCTTTCCAGGAGGGGATTGGCAGCGCATCTCCATGCCAGGGGGAGCCCCTGAGCTTGGCATTTTGGGGATGTAACCCCCATGATGGACCCTCCTTTTGGTCGCATCCTTCTTCCCAAATGAACAATGACATGGCAATGCCAAGACTTCCCGCCTCCGTAGATTATGGAAATACCTGTGGGTGAGAGAGCTGGTCCCTTTCACTAGCTCATTAATTCAGTAAATTACAAAGGGAAATACATGCTGGGAAAAGCAAGAAAAATCCCAAAAGTTAATCCAAGAATTATTTCCTCCCAATACCTGGATAAAAAGGTGTTCTTCAGTGCTCTTCAGGACAGACACCAGCGAGACAGGTGAACTCACATCAAAGAACAAGGTAAAATACTGATTTTATCCTTTTGCTCTATGTGCTTATACATATCTCCTTGGATTCCTATAATGTCTCTCTGAAAGGTGTTTTTTTCATTAATAACCTTAATGTGCTGACGGAACTTGCATTTGAAGTATGCTATTGCTGAGGAAAAGCATTTTCTTTTCCGATCATACATGGGGATCTGCTGCTTCCAGTCGCAGTTACCTCCTGCTGCTTCTGAGTCAGTAGACTTTTAAAAGTTTAATTTAGCTGTATTGATTTTTCTGATGAAAATTTTTAGAAGAACTTTGTCTATTTACATGCAATCCTTTACTGTTTCGGTTTGTTTTTTGTTTTTTGTTTTTTTTTTCTTCTTTTGTGATCTTCTGTTCGATATTTGCTTTTATTTGATTTTTTCTCTTGCACACGAGGAGTAAAAAAATGGATAAGGGATCATAGTCAGTGTGGGGTTTTATTAATACACATGTACACGTACAAGTGCTATATAAAATATCTATATTTTCATAAACATCACAATCATATTATTTAGGGAAGACAGTGAGGCAATGTTGTCTTCCTTGAGCAGGTCTCCCAAGAAGTCGGCTGCACTTGCATCCCGCAGCAGCATGGAGGGATCCCGCTGGCTCCTCTGCCTCTTCTCCATGTCGTGCTGGTTGAATTTGATGCCGACAGCCGGGACTAAAATCTTCCACTTTGGGCCCTGCAGGGTTCCAGTGAGTGTGACTGAGATTAGGTCTGGTTTCACCGCAATTAAAGCCAACATCGTAAGTATTGCTCCGGGCTCTTGTGGAGCTGGGGAAGCTCTTTAGCCAGCTGCTCCTGGAGCCCTGTGGAGCCAGCGTGTACCTCACCATCTCTGTTTTCTCCCGAGCAGCAAGCCAGAGACCGCATCAGGACCCTCAGCATCTTGTCTCACCCCCATTCTCTGCACAAGGTTAAGGTAGGGGTCCTCACCGTGTCTCCGGTTTTTCTCTGAATAATTTTGACCAGCCAGCCCCCAAACACCAGTCATGAGGTGTACCAGCTCAGGGCGTTTGGGGAAGTTCTTCAGTACCGTGACTTCTAAGTTCCTGAGAAACACAGACGCTGGCAGACAGTGCAGGTCAGGGAGGATAAAGTGATGAGGATCACGTATGTGAAAAGAGGTGGGTGTCCCACTGCCAGTCCCTGCACCGGGCTTTCACCATGACTCTCTTTCCAGAAATGGTTGGTAGAGATGATTTTTTTTTCTGGTTGCATGTGGTCGTCCAGTTACAGGAGCTTTAGCTGCGGCTCCCCACCACCTCGGCTGGTGGCGGCATAGAGAAGTGAATGAGGATTTGGGTGGAAAGCGACTAAAGAATCCAAAAGCAAGTGAAACATATTATAAATAAGTATTTTGCAGCTGTCTTGCACTCAAAGGCACTAGACGTGGGCCACCGCTTCAGGTCTCAGCCTCTACCACCCAGCTACAAAACTGGCTATGTATTTTATTGACTCGATGAGATTTGCTGAGGATGGATGTCTTGGAAATCAGTCTAAAAATAATTGCCTGTATATGTTATCAACTTACAGCAAGCACCACTGAAAAAGCTTTACATGAGTCAAAACACCCTGCTGTGCTCAGCTGCCGTGCTCGGTGTTAGAGGTGGCTTGCTCTAGCGGGGACAGAAGGACTGGCGACTGCACGGTTAAAGCCCTTTGGCAGACCTTTTAAACATGAAATTTATTCCTTAAGTCTTCAGATAGGTGCTGCATCACCCATCACCTCTTCAGCTTCTACGTGGACAAAGTTTTCAAACACTGCAAGACCGAGGATCCGTATGTCAACCGAAAAATCAGCAGCATAGCCAACTCCTTCCTCAGTGTGAAGAGGAAACTCGGGCAGTGCGTAAGTCTCGGGTATTGCTACAGTTTAGTTTCATCTGTTAGTATTTGGCATATAAACAAACCTAAGTGTTGTTTTGTAAAGTTTCAAAACCTTTATTTACAAAAGTGGTTTTAACAAGAATGCAGAGAAGCATGACGTGAAGAGCACATATGTCTGCTGAGAAATTTTTATACTTGCCCACTCATCAGCCAATTTCCATGTTAGTTCTCAAGAACAATATTTATCCTGTCCCTCTGTCTACCAAAGTAAACTCTGTTCTTAGCTGAAGTCTGTTTTAAGGACCTGCAGCCTTTTCCACGGTTTAACAAGGTCTCAGTCCACACAGTAAGTTCCAGCGTAACTGGGAAGCGATCTCTGATTTTTAAAAACGAACTCCCCAGACGAGTGAATTCTCTCTTATTTTTCTAGCATGAGCAAAAAAAGTGCACGTGCGGAGAGGAATCCACCGAGAAATTTAAGCAAATACGTGTGAACTACGAGGCGGTAAGTTGATTACTAAGCCTAGTTACTAACGCAGGTGTTCGGGTTCTCTTTACACTGGGTTGTTCTCACTGTCTTTGCCCACCACTGGCTCCTGCATATCATTTCAGCTGAATGTCACATCTGCAGCAATTAAATCCCTGGGTGAGCTGGACATTCTGCTAGACTGGATGGAGAAATCTCGTTAGAGAGCAGGAGGCATTAACGACCCGCCAGCGGCCGGGGCTAACGAAGCTGCTGGGACGCTGCGCATAGCTGCGGAGGTCGGGAAAACATCGTGCTGTACCCGTGCGGTTTCTCACTGAACGTGGCTGTGGTCAGTCCAGCACGGAGTGTGTCGCTAGCCAGGTGCGCAGGTGAACGCATCAGCAGAGTCTCGCATTAAGATGGAAAGACTGAGTTTGATCAAATCAGCGCAGCACGCGCTTACCTGACTCCTGTCAAAGGATGCTCTCCAAGGGAAAATCTGGAAGGGTTTCTCTTGCTGTAAAACATAAGCTGTGATCGTTTAATAAAAGTATTGCTTAAATTATAACATTTTTGTATAGGGAATGTATGTTCATGAGTGTTGAGTGCCCGCTGGAATGACTCTGGTGTAGTCAACGCTGCAGAGCAGTGCTGGTGAATCTGAGCTCAGTCTGACATGGCTGCTGCCACCGATGGATCTGGCTGAAACAAGGTGCACTGTGTCAGAAATGCTTCCCAGAACAGGTCCTAGCAGGTATGTCAGGCCTTAGAAGTCTGTTTCATTTTGAGATTATATTTGCTGCCTTATCAGTAAAAGACAACTTTCTGTGTAAGATATGTGGTTGCTGAATAGGAAAAGGTTCTTGTGTGTGCTGTGCGATTTACTGACACTCAGAACTAAGTTTTGTGGAAATCTGTTGCAATTCCTGTAAATAAACCCCACTCAAAATTGTGCTGAGTCTGTTTGTCAAAATTCTGAAGAATTATATGGTTCTTGTCGGCGAAACTTTCTGAATTCGCCTTGGTGCCCTTTCATAGCAGATGCTGTCACTCCTGGTAATGCTGGCATCCCAGAGGTGGTGCATCGCTCCTGGCATGACCAAAGTTCAGACCTGAGCGATACTAAATCACCCCAGCTTGTCCCTGAGACCATCTTTATTGTCCATTATGTATAGCTCTGGTCTGTCTTCACCCACTTTGGGCTCTTTTAGCAGCCAGTGACTGCGCACACATCACTGGTACCCACTGGTTCTGCGTGCTCTAAATCCCTTTTCCACTGTGTTTTCCCACAAGGCGTTAATACACGTATCGCTGTAGTATCTGACGATGGCAGAGGCCTAATGTGTTAGTAAATGAACCAAGACCACCCAAGTCATCTCTCCTGCAGCCAGGAGGTGTTATGCACCCCTGGATCAGGGCCCAGGTAAACGCTCCATATTAGCACAGGCCAGAGCAGTCGGCCATTTATGCTCCTGGCAGCACTCTGGACCTAATATTCCAAGTGATAAAGTCTTACTGCTGGGTTCATTAGACATAAGGCTTGAGTAAGACAAGAGGGTAGATCTCTGACTTGGTGGTTTTGCTCTAGGAACTGACTAAGCTGAGCCAGGTGTACGGAAACTCCTGCCAGCTCCGGTGGCCTGAGCCCAACCAGGGTGCTGCGCGCTCTCCCCTGGCTCTGAGCAGCTCTTACTGCTGGACGATTCACACTTGCACAAACCTCTTCTCAGACCTCTGTTCCCATGGCAGAGCCCAACGCTCTCCAGCTCTCCCCTTCTTGCCCACTGGGATGGACGGAGGGCTGGCTGTTCCCAGCTTGGACAATTTTGGGTGATGCTACAGAGGTGACACAGGGAAAGCTTTAGCTGTGGAAGGGGCTCTTGAACAGGATTTTATTACAAAATAAGATCCTTGCATCCTCAAGGAGAACCTAGTTACTGCTCTAGTTTCATCCCCATCCCAGGAAGACCTTGGTCAAGACCTCCGGCAGCACGTCGGCATTGCCGGAGCCTTGCGTCCGTCCAGTGGGCACTGTGCCTTTCATCGGGTGCCAGCAGAATGAAGAGCTGCAGGAGAGGAGGACATTCTTTGCCCCTTCCCTAAAGAGCCCTGACATGCCAGGTTGGTGACCTGGCTGGGTGACCTTACCAATATTTGCCTACAGCATATACGCACGTGCTTTGCGCGGAGCAGGATTTGGTTTTTCCTTTCAAAGGAAAGATCTCCCTGATTGCCCACTAACCTTCCTCAAATATTTGCTTACGCTAGAGGAAAGCCTTTCGAGGCTTTGATTCTTTCAATTTGCTTTCTCACAACTTTTTGCTGTATGACTTTCGCTTGTCCTGGTGCCAGGGCGTGAAGAGGTGAATGCATCTCACCACACTCTGTCAGTGTTTACGAAAGCTGATCTTTCGACACCTTCACCCTTGAAATCAACCATTTAAGAATGGCAGGTGTCTTGCACGTACCATGATTTTCTGTTAAAGAAACACCATTAGGAGTGAAGTGGTGATGCAATGAGACACCACAGCTCATCACTGGTCAGCATGTTTGGCCCACAGTCCAGTGAAGGAGATGGGGCTGCTTGGTGAGGTCCCTGTGGACCTTTCCATTGATTGTGGTGGGCTCTTGAGTGAGAAGTGTGGGGTTTTTGCCACAGCCTCAGCTTACCCTGCCATAATTATCATTATTTATCAGTTTTCATTGATTTTGTATCCTACGCAGAGGGTTGCACGGCTCAATCCACGCATGTTTTACCGCTTTCATGTCAAACTAGGTTTACACTTTCCCATCCACTACAAAGCCCTGCAGTAGCCCAGGGACATACCCCTTTGGGAATGAGGTGCCAGAGGGAAGTGGCAGCGATGGGAAGGAGCAGGAGCCACGGGCAGGCAGCTGCCGGGGCTGAGGGGTGCAGGGTGGCAGGACGCTCAGCCCACGTTTCTCAGCCCTCACACCTCTCCCGAGAGTTTAGCTCATTCTTGCTGCTCCCAGAGAGGTGCGGGGGGAGCGGGGCTGAGAAAAGGCTGCCGGCGGGCAGGCTGAAGAGGAAGCAGTTTTGCAAAGGGAGAGTGAAAGGGGTTTTCTCCTCTCAGAAATTTCCAAACCTTAGCATTCTTCTGCAGCTTTATGACGGCTCACCCCCAGGGACACCTTCCAAGCGCACGCCTTTCCTATTGCACCAGAATAATTCATTAGCTTCCAGCAACTCTGGGCAGGCACAGACCTGTCCTGGCCCCTCCGCACCTTTTCCGACATCCAAGCCCCTTCCCACGGGGCCGCTGAGGGGACGCAGCCTGGGAGCTGAGGCGGATGAGCCGTAACCTGACGTGTGACGTCCTATCAGTACGGTGGTGACTGTTGCAATGGGGATGTGAGAGCAGCCCTGAAAACACAAATGCGGGGCTGGGAGGGGAAATGCAAATGCCATTGGAGCTGCTGCCCTCCTCCTCACAGCGAGCCGAGCTCATCTCAGCGCTTATTGCGGGGAGGTCCATGACTCAGGAATGATTTGGGGTTTAGCCTTGATGAACACTCGGCGTCTGTGGGCTAACACAAACAGCCAGCACCTCCCTGAGCTACTGTATTGTTTTAATTTTAAAGCGTAGCTAATATTGTGCTAAATAGAAATATACGTGTGGTATTACTGCAACACCGTCAGGTCAGACCCTAGCCAAGGTGATGCTCTTCGTTCTTCGTATTTTACGGCTTGCCATCAGAGCTACACATAACCAACACAGGCTCAGGAACTCGAATTTGTCTCTGAACAGCTCTGGCCCCGCTGGACACCTCCGCACCCCCTCTCTTTGCCAGGCAAGCATCAGCCCAGCCCATTCCTGGTGTTCAGGGAAAACTGCTTCTCTGCGTTGTCACAACTTCTTTATCATTGCTGCTTCCTACATGGCTTTATCTGTGGGCTATTCAGCTTTCTGTACCCACATCTCACTGACAGACAGCAGTGTCGTGCTGCTGTTTGGAAATCCACGCATCAATAAATTGCTTTTCTCTGTTTAGTCATCCACTTTCAAAAATAAGACCAAGAGACAACATTTAATTACAGCCATCCTCCTTTCCGCCTGGATAAGCATGAAGTCAGCAGGGGAAAATGTGTGAGTGACGTGTGGCTCAGGTTTATTAAGCAAAGGGAGGGTTTTCAAGGCCAGCCTCAGTGGGGTGGCTCCGAGGCAGAGGAGCACGGACTGGGCTCAGTCGGTCTGTCTCCAAGTCAGAAAGGGGAGATTGTTGGTTCAGCTGCTTTGGGGAATTTGGTCTGTGCTATGCAAATGGATACAGCGAACACCGGTGCCTATTGCCCACGCAGCTATATAGGTGGCTAACAGCTTGTCATACTAATTAATGCCATGCTGTGATTATTGAAAATGCATATGTGAAACGTTACTCAAAACATATCCTGTTTATCCCCATTAATTGTGGGTTTCTTCTACTGTCCTGTGCTGTTTGCAACACCAGGTGTGATGCTGTAGTGCTGCAGTAAAAGGAGGAGAAAACCCTCCCCCGGCAAACGCGCCCTTACTGCGCCTCTTTGGGTGCCCTCTCCCCCTGCCCTCCCATGGACTGCGAGTCCCCATGTCTGCTGAAAGCCAGTGGTATTCTTTATTGCTTGTGCATAAAAACACTTCAGACCACGTCTGGTCTGCAGGTACTGCCCTCTGGATGAGAAAGCTTAAAGGAATAAAAAGCGCGAGACATCGTTCTAGAGGGTTTCCCAGCTGCCTTTGAAAGAAAATGAGATTATTTTGAATGTGCCTCCCGGCCTTTGAGAGCCCTCTGTGTTGGAAGGGCACTGGTGGGGCTGGGGCTGTCAGTGGGCTAAGCAACTCGACCTCCTGCCATTTCCCAGTCTGACCTGCTCGCTCAGACCTGCGCCTCCAGCCCAGCCACCCCGTTTGGCATCAAAGGATTCCTCCTAAATCACTGCTCGAAGCTGAAGTGAAGCAAAAAAAAAAGGTGAAGCTATAGCAAATTGTGGTAGCAAGAAACAGTGCTGCTTGCTGGTGTCTTGTTCTGATCCTCAAGGTAGTTGCCTTTGCTGTTGCCTCTCAGTCCCTCACCCTCAGACCTGGCCCTCCCGGATCGGGGAGGACACGTTCGGGACAGCACTGTCCCCCTCGGAGCCACCCTGCGCGATGTTGCCGGAGGTGAGGAGGAAGGTGGAGTAGGCGAGGTCAGCATCCTCCTTGGAGCTCTGGGGAAGGACAGG